GAGGGAGCCTGCCATTATATACCTTCCTCTAGGAACCTATTCACAACTGTTCTATAGTTAACATAACAAGTTGTATCTATATGAAAAAGGACTTGAAGTGACAAGTCAGGAGTTTGGGGATGCAGGAAATACACAGGATGAAAATAATTAATTCCATTAATTAATCATTAATTCCAGCAGAATGACACAAGGAGTGTTGGTGTGTTATGAAAATATGGGAAGCTAAGTTTGGATAACCCTAGAGAAATCAAAATCTAAAACTAATTCTGTATGCCCAGCTGGGGAAGGAAGTGCCAAAATGCTCTGCCACTGAGTTGTATAGAGATGCAGATCAAGTACCTGCTAGGGTGCATTTGAAATACTGAGTCATTGGCATGACAGATGCATGTTAGTAAGTGACTGCTGCTACCAATAAGTGGCTGATGTACTATGTGGTAGAGGAAATGTTTTATCTGAACAACAGCTCTTAAGTAAGTTTTCACTCTTGAAAAGCCTTGCTGCAGACAGGCAGGCTTTCACTGAAGAGAAGTACTTTGCTGCATATGGTCTACCTGCTGGGAAGAAAGTTATTTCCATCCCTTCCAGGAATGGCCAAGGATTTGGCCCCGCTTTACCAACATGCTCTTACAATTGTCAAACCATCCCTGAATGTTATCATATTCAAATTCGGCCCTGATTCATACTTTATCATTATCTTTACAGTAGGGCTATACAGACATTTATTTTTCTTTAGCACCACCCACATATTGAAATACAGAGCACTCCTCATTGTAACAGCAATATACCACCCTACCTGCCTATCCCTTTGCTTTGAAGTACAGAAACAAACGGCTGGGAAATTATAGAACACTAGGCACTGAGATATGTATAATGCACTGGTTATAGACAGTTTAACTCATGTCCACCTTCACATTCACGGTATTTGTTTCCAGGTCAGCTGCCCACTGACAGAAAAGTCCCAGAACATCCTGAAGATTGAAAATGATGAACACTGCCTGACCCTGTCAGCAAGGTGCTGTCTCCTACTACAATAGCATGCCTTAATTACAGTTTCCTATGACAGCAGAGTTCCCTGAATTACATGTAGATAGGAAGGACAGTTTCTTGTTTGGTCACTGATTTTGGAGCTTTCATCTTTCCAAGAACATTTGCCATCTATGTGCAATGCTCAGTTACGTGCCAAAGCCTGTGTGGTTCCTTTTATAACCAACAAACCAGAAAATATCCGAGGTTTACCTAGAGCTGCACATTTATTACAAACTCCAAAATACACACACAGCTGGATTACACTCTTTTTGTTAAAAAAGATTAAATGCGTACACTATTTCTGTATTGTAGAGGGGAAACAACTGCTGTGCATGTCCATCCGGTGTAATGGAAGCTGGCATCTCTCAAAAGCAGCTTGGAATTCTCCGCTGACGTTTTTTTATTATTTGCCTTTCGTGCTCATATTAACTCTGTGCTTAGTCAGCAAAGCATTTGAGGCCACTGGGGGCTGTGTTGCTTTGGTAGTGAATAGAATCAGGACCTAAAACTGCAATTGCAGTTTTGCTAACAGAGCCAGACCGAGCCTGATTCCTTGTCAGAGCACTGGGATAGAGCCCTTTTCTTTGCGCTGCTCATTCTGGAACAATCTGCCACAAGTCACCGAGGAAACACAGATCATTTCTTCCTCTCCCTTTCTGGGATGCCTGGCAAAACTGATGAGACACCAGCAGGTCAGCACACTCTGCTAATTACACTGCACAACACCCACAGCATGCTACACTTTCCAAATGGAGAGTCAAAGACAGAAAAACACCTTCAAGTTTCCCTAAAGACTGTGTCTCTTATCGTTCCTACTCAGGTCCTGCAAACACATACTGCAGGGCAATCGTGGATCACAACCCAACCCTTAATGGCTTGTGCTGGCATGAGAAAAGGTGAATGTAGCAAGGAGATACAGCATGAGTGCCAGGGACTAAAGAAAGTAAAATGAGGATGACAAAAACTACACACATGACTGCATGAGCAAGTCGTATTATAAAGTCCTTTACATTTCCCATTAAAAATGGCTTACTCACCCACAGAGCCATGTCCTTGGCTTGATGGATGGGCGATGATTATAATTATTACACTTTCCTTTACATTTCAAAATGTTCTTCTCAGACACAGAGGTAACAGTGTGGTGCCCATATAAAATACCAGAGTACCATGAGAAAGCAGCTGGTGTTACGTCCATAACATTCCAATTCAGAGCAATAGTGATGACACTGAAACAAAATCCCTTCTCAGTCCAGTTTCTGTGTTGCACAGATGTCCCCTGCTGTCCAGGAGACTGCAGTCACAGTTTGACTCTCTTTTTTTCTATTTCTCTAAATACACTGCAAAAGTATATAAGCCGGCACAGGGATAAATGACAACTCGGCCCATGGTGCAGCTCCGAAATTGCACAGGGGCTAAATGTGACAATGGTGAATTGAGGCATGACTTCAAAGTCTCCGAAGTTCAGCAAAACTTCCTCTGAGCCTTCATGTAATCAATGAAACAGTAAACAGAGAAGACGTCAGTGGTAACTGATAGCAGTTATCTTACCACCACCAACGCATTATTCCCACATTTAAGCACTCTTCGTAACCTATGATTACTGCCTAGGGATGTTTAACAGAGTGGAGAAAAGGTTAAAGGGACCAGTTAGACATCAGGGTTTTAATAGCTTGTCCCCTGTTACTTGTCTTTGACAAAGTGGCTTTAATTTACATCACTATAAGGCTCATGATTTTATTTTTTCAAGACATATTAATTTCCAAGTGGAGAGGTTTCTAAGTAAGAATTAGCAAGAGAAAAGCTAAAGAACCACTTCAGTAAATTCTCTGCATGCTGGGAATATGGTTTGACTGGAAGATACAGACATCTTTCTGAGATTTCTTTGGAAAATAAAACTTGACAGATCTTTTACTAGTGATAAGGTCTGATTAGTCGTGTCACTGTTGTCAGAGATAATCTGCTACACCACAGCCCCTTGTCATGCTGAGGTTAACCTATGTGTATTTTATATACCTGCTCAGGAATCTCTTTGTTGCAACAGGCTTGTTGAATTCTACATAGGCTGTTGTTTTTCACAAAGGCTTACGCTCAGGGCACAGACGAATTCTAACTCATGGGCCACTGATTAACACTGGCATTTCTTTTCTCCCTCCCCATCCCTCCTTGTCCACAGAAGACAAGTTGCTTTCAGATGTCTTGTTTGGTGGCCTTCCTGAGCATGGTGTGAGAAAATCACAGCTGAACAACAGCTGGCAAAGAAGTCTCTGCTAATTTTTTACAAAAAAGCCTAGTGGGTTGCTTTAATGTGAATGGCTGGGATGACTGAGTAGGGAGAAGACCACAATGAGCTTCATCCCCTCCTGTGACTGATGCTGGGAGCAGCTAGGGCTTTGTAGTCTTAGATGGTCAGTAAGAGTTCAGTTTGGAGTCACAGCAGGAAAACAGTATCAGGAAATCAACACAGGCAGAACAGTTAACTGCCCTAACAGAGGGATGCGTCTGTGAACTATCAGACATAAACAGCCATGCTGCTTTTCTGGGAGAGGTGAATTGGCAGAGAAGTTTAAGTTCCCTGTTTTGTCTAGGGCAAAGGGAGCATCTAGGTGCCAGTTTGGAGAACTACTGACCTTTGTCTCCAGGTAAAATTGCAGCTAGAGGACAGCAGTTTGAAGATTGTTTGTCATCTAAAGAGAAACAAATATATACAAATCTCTACCAGTGAGCCAGACTTCTGCATGCCCCAACATGGAGATCATGTAAGCATTCAATTGAAGAGATGAGTGCAAAATCACTGAGCAACCATGCCAAGACTACATGCTCCAGAAAGTCTAATAGGTAGGACAGTCAAGACAGAAGAGACATTTCATGTCACCACCCTGCATGATTTAGGACTGAATGACTTATAGTAAAGTCAGAGATTACCTTGAAATATTTTTGATCACTGCCCATTCTCAACTGCAATCCTAACCATAGACCTAAACTAACCATCCTGTGCATGACAGTCAACTTTTCTCCTGGTCAGAGAAATACTAGTTACACACCAATGCACTGGTGGTGAAAAGCAAGCATACATAAAGCAACGCTTTTCTCATCTAATCCAAAAACTGTTTTGTTCAGTCTCTGCTGTGCATAACTGACCGCAGTACTTTATTCCACAGCTCTTCCTCAGAAAGGGATGATTGGTACAGCTGCATCAGCAGACACATCCCAGATGACTGCAAAGCTCAAAACACTTCCACCTTCCACACCAGCGTGGAGGTAAGAGGACAATTTCAGAGGCTGAAAGGAAAATGAAAGCAACATAAAAAAATAAATAAATGGAGAAAGGAAAAGGAAATGGGGAAGGAAGGAGAAAGTCAGGAGAAAGAGTAAATGGAATCGAGAGTGTCCAGCCCTGTGCTGGAGAGAGTCCAGCACAGGACTACAAGGATAATCGGGGGCCTGAAACACCTGCCCTATGAGGAAAGGCTGAGAGAGCTGGGCCTGTTCAGCCTGGAGAAGAGAAGGCTGAGAGGGGACCTGAGCAGTGATACCTTAATGGAAGGAGGAGGATGGGGCCGGCCTCATTTCAGTGGTGGCCAGCGACAGGACAAGAGGAAACAGCCACAAATGGAAGCATCAAAAGTTCCACAGGAACTTAAGGAAGAATTTCCTTTCCTGTGAGGGTGCCAGAGCCCTGGAACAGGCTGCCCAGAGAGGTCGTGGAGTCTCCTTCTCTGGAGATCTTCAAAACCCGCTTGGACGCAGTCCTGTGCCACGTGCTCTAGGTGACCCTGCGTGTGCAGGGGGGTTGGACTAGATGATCTCTAGGGATCCTTTCCAACCTTAATGATTCCATGATTCTATGATTCTGTGAAAGAATAAAGGAAAGGGTAAAAAAGTAGAGCTCCCAGTGACAGAGTATTTTTACTATTTTCATTTAAATCAGTAATTCAAGCCTAAGTGATAAAGCTCATTCTCAGTTCCTGGTTACCATACAATTTTCATGGGCCACTTCCAAAGTGTTAATCACATGGTATTCTGAGGTCTTTGCTAAAATCTATAGGTTTATTGGATGATGGCTAGTAGAACTTGGTCCTACAGGCTCTAAAAGTAGTTTCAAACTTTGCACGATTGTTAAGAAAACTACTTATTAATTATGCTTGTACCATACACATAATAAATTCACTATAAGTGCAAGTACCACCAGCAATACTCTAACTGCATCTTCACAATTAATGTACACTATTGCCATTGGAATAATTTCAATCATGCTACTCCCAATTATAAAAGCATATAATGGATTTGACAAAAAACAAAAATGCTTTATATTAAACAGAATCCTAGAGTTTCGCTAAATAATGCTAACTAGGGGATAAATAAATAAAAAAAAAAAGAGGAGCATTTTATTTTTAAAGAGTGCAGGAAATAAAAAACGAAATCCAAAAACAAAGCAGGATTTCCTTGCTGGCCTGAAACTAATCTGCTTTCAAATTTTCAGTAGGAAAAAATAAATTTTCAAATGCATAGAAACATAAAATACATCCTTTTCCAGAAAATAAAAATATAATTGCTTATGCAGCTCTGCTTCTGATTTAGATCTCAATGCATCCAAGGAGAATGTAATTTTTCGGCATTTAAATGCCATTTGCCTGCAGAGGTCTAATTTCCTCCTAGCAAACTCTCGTAACAAACAGTCTTCTAAAGGTGCAAGAGCTTGCTTTACACGTGCTAAACACTAAGCTGCTGTGAACTGGAAGCAGCGTACCCATGCTTTAACGTGATACTAAGCCTGAGCTAACGCACTCAGCTTCTCACCAGTAGATGATTAAATTGGCTTCAGTTCCGCACTGACCATAGCTTCATGGGCTCAGCACATCACTGCTGCCTAGTGCATGCCAACATATGGGAACAGTAAATGTATTTTCTTAAAGACAGCCATGTGGTCAGATCATCAGTATAAATAAGATTTGGACTGTGTGATAAGTTTATCTTTGTGCAAATTATGGTTTGTATTAGAAGTGAAACGAGTTTTAATTGCTTTCTGTTGCATCTGTCCCCTGACTATAAAATTGCCCAAAGATGTAATTAAATAATGAGCACATTCCTTTGTTCCATTCAAAGTTACGAAGTTTTTTTATGGTATTATTTCAAAAACTATTATAAAAGGACGTGTTTAACTCATGTTGAGACATTTTAGTACCAATAATATCATTGCAATTTTCATATACAATGAGTAGGATTCTCGTCCTACGTAGAAGAGTGTCAATGAATGGACAGCATTAGATCTACACAATTTTTTATCTGTTTTGAGCCTCCCCTTCACAACACAGTCCTTCCTGATTGGCCACAGTCTCTCAGCTCAGAAACAGCTGTATCTCATACTTAGATGTTCTTTAAGAATTTGAGAATGTGGGGATTTTAGCAGGTGAAGACATACTGAAATGGGAACTGTATGTGAAGGAATAGGACTGACTGAGCGTACTTAAAAAGAGTGGCCATTTCTTCATTTGTTCTTGTTTGATTTTAAGCTAAGGGAAAGGCTTGGAATACCCTTGGGTGAGAGGCCTCCTACTTTGGTACCTGTGTCCCACGTCATGATGTGCATGAACTGTGGTTGTGACTTTACCCTCACCCTGAGACGCCATCATTGCCATGCTTGTGGGAAGGTAAGGGCTGTACAAGCACAGCTTGATTCACACCTTTAGTACACCAGCTGCTGCTACTCTAACTTTTGCAGGCTTGTAGAAATACCAAGAATAGAATCCGACTTCTCACAAGGATTTTTTGGCTTTGTGGAATAGAATTAAGTATTCAGGTTACTTATGACTCTAGCAGGAACAATGGTAACCTTCCACTGAGCCCCAAATTAATTCCCAAAGGTCATAAACTGGAAGGCCCACATGAAAACCATCACTGAGCCCAGCTTTTATATCTAATCTGCAGTTAGGGGTACAGATGATAAAACAAGAAACATAGGTTCCATTTTGGACCACAGCAGTGCATCTAGTCCAGTCTAACAGTGTGTAGTAGACTGTGTACAGTGTGCAGTACACTGTAGTGTGTAGTCTCTGACATTAACAACAGCTAGTAAAATTATCTTCCAAGAAAGCTGAAAAAAAACACAGCATGAGCATTCTGGCCAAACTGAAAAATTTCTCTGCATTCCATTAAAGAGCTGCTGGTATGTGCCCTAAAGGCTGGGAGGATCTATAGCCTTTCCAGTGTTTTCGTTCCTTTATCTGTGCTTTCTACTGACCCTAGAGACTTGTATTATCCACATAAACCTGAAGTCCTATTTTGAACCACCGTTATCTTTAGCCTCAGTGATACCTTATTATATCAAACTCTACCAGTAATTTTTGCTAGTATGAAAAGGTATTTATCCTTCTCTGATTCCACAAGAGAATCAGTCTTCAGTATCAGAGAGAAAGCAAGAACATGTAAGCTTGCTTCAGCAAACAATTCTACTAACAAAAATGTGTAACTAGATGTAATATTACAGTGGTCTTTCTGTGGTTCACTACTATGGAAGGTACAAGTTCCCATAATAGCAGTGGTGTGCAATGAAATACAGTGATAAACTTTGCTTTAGCTTGCAACAATGTAAGTGTAAAGAAGGAAAAAAAAAAAAAAAAAACAGAGCAGGCACAGTCAATGGACTTGCCCTAATTTACAAACATTTAGCAGAGTCCTATCTGGTCCAATAACCTCCTTCCTCTGCTAGCCAGATGGGAGAATTTGCTTTGTATGTGTACATACATTGATGTAAAATGACATTTACATGCATCTCACCTTTCTGAAACAGATTGTATGTCGAAATTGTTCGAGAAATAAATACCCTATGAAGTACCTCAAGGATCAAGCAGCCAAGGTCTGTGATAGCTGCTACTTGGAATTGAAAAAAAGGGGTAAGGTTCCTTCATTATTGGCAAAATCATTACTTGCCTGTGTAATGAGGAAAACTTCAGGATCTCCCTGCCATGCTGTGTTTTGTTACAGAGGATTTCTCTTTCCAGGCATGAGGCATGTGTAATAAGTCCCAAAAGTGCCAGACTGCATAGCTGCGAGAACTGCTTTGTCAAGCCAGTTCTCAGAGGGCTCCTTTGGCCATTTGGTAAACCAGAGATGCAACCATTAGAGTTGATAGCTCTTTCCTGTCACTTCTAGGAAATTATCCACTAAAGCAATGGCTTTACTGCTCCTCACTCTGTCCTCATTGAATGCAATAGCTTTTACAATGAGAAATAGTGAGGTTTTACAATTAGAAATAATGCAGAGTCACTAAAACCTAACTAAAACTAATGCTGAGGGCTAATCTGGTTTCAGATTTTAGTTAGAGCTACTTCTAACTAAAACTCTGTGTATGACTTTTCCACAAGTCCTTGTTCTGATTTAAACACATATCCAGATCAAACATAATTTGAAAAAAATACATATTTTTTTTAAACAAAGAACAGATAGTAAGTAATATTCTGGCACAACTACTCATGTAGACAATCTCCGAAAGCAAGTGCATGATATTGTACTTCAGTGAGAACTTCCAGATAATGTGTGTTGCTAGAAATAGATCATGAATAGACGTACTCAGACAACAGTACTGAAGCACAATCTCCTACTGCAGGGAATAATGAAGCTTGACATAGAGTATCTCACATGAGCAGAATTCAAAGACAAAAGGTTCGTATAGAAACTTGTAGTGAATTTGTCCTATAGAGGTGTTACAGAACACAGAGGGAATAGATGTTAGACATTTACTTAACACTTAAAAAAAGTTAGAAGAAAACAAGTTGTGTTTTGTGCTTTATCAGTTTTCCCACAAGTTGCTCTCATGCTATAGAGCATTACTCTTGCCCTACGGTGTTATGAAATCCACCAAGCTAACCAGACTTAAAGGAGTAATTTTAGAGAAAAGCTAAGATAAAAATCTACCAGCTATGGAATAGGCACTGCAGTTTCCTAATTGTTTGTGTATCATGTCTCTTGTATGTACCAATAGTCTTACATGTACCAATTCATCCATTTCGCTTTTCCTTTTCTCAATTTTCTTAATCTTGCAGAGCGACCACTAAGTGTGAGTTTCCCTCCAACTTCATCCAGGTGTTCGAACAGTGCCTTCTCCTCTGTCTTCCACAATATTAATTATTCATCTTTTAAGAAGCAAAAGAAGATTCCTTCAGCTCTTATGGAGGTAAGACCAAACTGCCTGGGAAAAGAGAAGGAACTTGAAGTGCTGTGTGCTGAGACTACAGCAGCAATGTTTATTTATTCTGTGTGCAGTCGGTGTAGCCCATTCCCTAGTCTACTTTCATCATGCAGTTATAATTTCCTATTTTTTTGTAATGGTATAAAAGTTTCAAATACAGAGTACTCCAGTCTCTAAGAATTCCAAGAAACCTCTTCAGACTACCAAAAAACCCTAATTAGAGCAACTAACTTGAATCTCATCAACCTGTAAAGTCTTTAGAAGACTAAGAAGACCTCAAGGTACTAGGTACTTCAACATGACAAATCACACAGATGACAATTGTCAACAGAGAATGATTCATTGCTGACCAGTAACTTTTTATAACAGGACCGTTGCTTCGCAGTTGGCATTTATGACTTCAAAAGAACTAAAATATCACTTACTTTGCTGCCGAATAGAATGTGGTCCTTGTCAAGAAATTCATGAATATATACATTTAATCACTCAGTCTCCTACAGCTCAAACCAAACTGTCTAAAATAAAATAAGTAAAATCTTGATCCTACAAGGTAAATTAAAAAAAATTCCCATGAGTTTCACTGGGGCAAGAATTTCACCAGCTATATTAGTTCTTCCAGGAATATGTTGCTAATCATGCTAATTCAGACTAGCTAGATAAACTGCCTACTGAACCTAAGCACAGCAAGGCTGTCAGTAAAACCAGCAGGCATTAATTAATGTGTTAATGAGAACAGGATGTAGATGTTATAAACTCTTTGTACAGTCAAATCATAGGAATTTCCTATGTTTATTTGTGATGAGCTGAAACTAAGCCACAGATGCAAGCATATAATGCAAAGAATTATACAAACTCAGTATTTCTGTAAGAACCAAGAGAAAAGCAGAAATTCAGCACTGCTGGGAAAAAGCTATTGCCTTTCTATCCACAAGGAGGCAGCATATGCGTATTAATATGAACTGTTTATCTGCTGTGAAAGGGGTAACTCTCCTCAGAAATATTTCACAAATTAAATTAAGTCACAGTCAAGTGAATAACATAAATTAATAAAAATCTCTTTCAAATAAACACACACCTTGAAGGTGTTCAGCCACAAGACTATCCTTCTCTTCTGGAAACATGCACTTACAAACTCAAAAAAAGGAAAAATAAAAAAAGAAGAAAACAGACCTGAAAAAAGGGACAAATTCAGCTTCTTAGAGCACAACTACAAACTTGCTCTTCTCAGTAACTTGGCTGCATATTTTCACCAGTTTTTCTGAGAACTAAGTTGAGCTAAAAGCCTTCAAGCAATTAAAAGAAAAAGAAAACAGTAATCTAATACTTCTGTTTGTTCTGTTTTCGTATTTTTAACTGTCCTATGGTTTCATGGGCTGGTTTTCTGATTCAGTTGTTTTTCTGGTGTTACATGTACATGCATATGTCACAGGGAGAGAAGACTTTGCCATCACAAATCCTGATTTCTTCCATTCTGCTCCAGGTGGCAGCCTCAGGAGAGGGAGCTACCATCAGTGGTTATCTCAGTAGATGCAAGAGAGGCAAAAGACACTGGAAGAAACGCTGGTTTGTTATCAAGGGCAAAGTTCTCTACACCTATGCAGCAAATGAGGTATTCAATCTAACCTGAAATATTTTTCTCACTGTACTGATGAGTTTCCTCATTTACTCCCTATAAGGAGCACAAGTAATGGTGAGAAGTACAAATGGCAATTCTCATGACACCCTCCTCACAAAGCTAGTGCTAAAAAAACTGCAAGCTGAGTTCCCATGGGCAGTCTTTAGCCAACAGGCCCAGACACATTCCCAGCTGGACCCTGGCAGCCCTCTTGCACAAACTGCTCTTCATTACTTGATTTTTGCAGTTCATGCTATTACATACTGCTAACTTTGGTGCATGAATTATATACATAAAGACTTTAAGGGCCTTTGCATTTGTATGGTGTTCCAGAGAAAAATCTGCTGGATTTTTCTATAGATAGGTATGATCTATTTCTGATGGGGAGGAGAATATTCTAGTTTTGCTAGCGCAGATAAGACATATCTGTCCTACAGGTACGGACCATGAAAGAGCCCTTTAAGCTCTTCATTACAACCAAGGAGATAGGATATCCATTAAAGAATTCTTTGCATTGTATTTACTACCTTAGCTAGCAATGGTTCTTAGAGTGCTAGGAGATGTACTGAGCAAAAAAACATCTCTACAGTTGCTAGAAGTGGGTTTTGTCTCTACCCTGGGTTTTGTCTCTACCCCATCCCTTTTCACATTTTACTTTCTTCTGTGAATAGCTGCAATGACACTATGTTTTAGGCAATTAGGTTGCAAAGACTGTTTATAATTAGCAGGTTTTATAAATAGAAGCATAAAGTAACCATTTTTGCTGAAGGACGCAGAATGAGAGACCTGCAATAACAGCATTTTTTTAACCTTCAGAATACTTTGCAAGCATTATTTAAACTTCTCATCACTGCAGTGAGACAGGAAGCATCATAATTCCCTTTAAATAGATGGCAAAATCAAGGCACAAGTGAATACATGATTTGGTCACGATCACAAACCAACCTACTGATTGCTTCAGTAATGTTGCTGTGTAATCACCTCTTCAATTTATATTCCTGCTAACTTCCTTTATGGTTTAACCAAACTCAGTTGAGCTTGATTTCTGTCCAAAACTTTCAGACGGAACTCATTAATTCAGACCATTAAAACCAAAACATGTGTCTAACTGTCTGATGCATTTACCTTATTCCTACTATCCTTAAAATCAGAACTTCTGTTTCCACCATTGCAAAAGGGAGGAAGCAATGGATAGCTAATTACTTCTCAGTATGTATCATAGGTTCTGGGAACAGAGGCAAAAGCTACACACCCACACAGAGATCACTGTCTGGAGACAATAACCAGAATGGCAGTTACTAGTAACAGCTAAACTGCAATTCAGTTAAGACTCATTGTTTTCTTTCACTTGTACAAAGCAGTGTCAGGCAAAAACAAAATTCATGACTGTTTCTTGGGAATAGGTTAAAAATGAACTGTATTACCAGCTCATAATTTTTCAAGTTGCACCGTTGACAGTAAGTGTGCTGAGTCGGTGCCGATTTATGAAAATGCTGCTAGGGCCATGAAAGGAAATGACTAAGTGAAAGGATATTACTGGCACTCAGTAAACAAAAATGATCCAAGGGAACATTACCGTGGTGCAGGCCTTCAGAACTGCTGCTGTACTATCCCATAATCTCAGTAGCCTCTTCCTGGTTTGCCTCCTGGACTGTTTTGTTGAAGGTGGCAGTCAAAGCAATGGCTAATTTGACCTTGAAGATGGCCACAAAAAACAGAACTTTGAGAGGTGCTGCCTGAGTTCAGGTCTGAGGCAGACTAGATGAACACATGACGTACACTAGCAGTACCCCGTCTAGGTTAATCCAAGTCACTAAGAACCACTGCGGAAGAGTCATTACAACAGCAGCAAATGTACACTGCTCTTTTAGATGTCCTATCAGACAGGGGGTTGTGTCACAATCAGGCATTCAAAAGAGTTGTCCAACTCTGCTACAAACCACCTCTCTAAACTTTGTTTCACTTCTTGACTGCTTTCAGGACAAGGTTGCCACAGAAAGTTTGCCTTTGTTGGGTTTCACCATCACACAAGAAAAGGAAGGAGGAGGCATGGATGCAGTTTTCCATCTCTACCACAAGCAAACCCTCTTCTATAGCTTCCGAGCAGAGGATAACAATTCAGCACAGAGGTATGGGATAGATTTGCACACTAATGTATGAGTAGACCAGAGGAAACAAGTAGCCTTGAGAGTATTAAGCCCAATTCAATGTGACTGGCCTGGGTGACATCAGAAGTCTACCCAGTGCTTTTCAATTCCTTCAGGAAAGGGAACTTTCTCCTTTGTAGAGCGAAAATAAGGAGGCCAGGTCTCAAAAGCCATTCCTAGAAGTCTCTCAAACGTGGTTATTGCAAAGGAACTTCTCAAAACCTCCATTCTATCTATCCATTTCTTAGTTTGTCCTTTAACAAGCAATTGTTTCAATTTCACAAATTACTGTTACTGCTGCTGTATAATAAAATAATCATGAAATTAATGAGAAAAATGCCAGATTCTTAATACATAGAGGGAAGTAAATGAGTTTCTATAAGATGATTTGTTGTTTTTAAGCCTATTTCAATGGTTGCACCTTTCGCATCCCAAGGCGGCACACGTCCTCTCTTTGGGATTACACAGTAAAATACTGGTGAAGGGCACACTAGAATTCAAGAGTCCTACCACCTAAGCCGCTGTCTCAATCATAAAACAGTAGTTTCTTATTACAGCCAGAATGGAGAATACAGTCCTTTTCAGGCTTTGTGTTCTTAAAAAGCTTATTTTTGAAAGAACTATATAATTTTGCACATACCATTTTTTTTTCCTTGCTCTTTTTTTCAGGTGGATTGAAGCCATGGAAGAAGCATCCATATTATAGCAGCAAATGGACTTGGAATAAAACTTCATATTTCTATACATTCCCAGCAACCCTCTTCTGTCTTACAAAAATGATCAGTGTATTTCAGGCAAACCAGCTACACACACTGGATCTGAACTGTTTCCAAGTTTCTCTTTCTTGCTTCCTTCCACTTTCATCCATATTTTTGCAAATGGAAGCTAAAATAGAGAATATTTATGGTCATCTTTATATCTGCGCAAGTTCAACTTGTGCTATAAGCATCTCCTCAGTAAACCAAGTCTAATATCAAGACAATACATGGAAATACTGGCTAATGTAAGTAGTGCGCTCAGTTTTACTTACCTTAAGAGCACTATCATATTTAATTGTGCTGGTTTTTATATCTACCATGAAATGAGAAACAATGTAGTAAACAAAAAAAAATTATTTAAAGCACTTTATTGGTTTATTGAACTAGAGCTTCCTATTTCACTTTTCCAAGGAGTTCTGTGGACTGATTAACCTTTCATCAATTACTAAATGCCAGTATAAAATTGTGCCCTGCATATGCTAAACTGCTTCCACTGAAAGGAAATGAACAAATCCATACAATCTACCACAGCCTACCAGCACTCTACCAGCTATGTACCAGGATAACTACTTGCCAATAATTTCTGATTTTACACAGATCATTGGATAATTTATTTTAAAGGGTTCAATTTCTTGAAACTAAAATACTTTAGAACACCCTATGGTAGCTCTGCCTATCCGAATGTTGAATATTATCACTTCTCCCTAAACACTGCATCAGACTCAAACACAAAGCATATTTTTAATTTATTATAAACCCACGGTCAGTTTTTATTTAATGTTAGTCTTCTTAGTAGTGTTAGATTTTTATAATCTATTTAAATAGTCTGTTTTCAAAGTTGTGTTGTTGTTTCTGCCATTCCTGTTATGAAAAACACCATCGAAAATTCAATTCACACAACCAGCATATAGTTTGAAACAAGCTGGCGGGCTGAAAAGCACTTGTCTGAAATGGCTCCGATAGAGCGCTTTGCAAGTCCTGGGGCTAAATGTATTTTACATGAGACTGCTGTTGTCCACTACAATTCCAGGCCTGGATTCTCAGCAGCCAAGGGTCAGCACAGTATCTTTGGAGACATACTTCTTTATGCCAGATGAATTTGGGGGAGTTTGTTTTTCAATAGGACTGAGAAGTACTAATGTTATAATCTTTGCAACAAAATGACTGGGTGTCCTACATTTGTAATAATACTTGACTGAGGACTAGAATGGCATTTATAAATAAAACATATCTTTGTACAAAATACCATGATCAAAAATTCATTTACATTAAAATACACTACAGGGGGATTTTTTAAATTATTATTACTATGAAGTTCTCATTCTTCCATAAGTTGCATAGAAATCTGAATTTTTGGCTGCAACATGTATTCAAACATTACAGATAGCTTGTCACCAGGAGGAAGGAAAAAAAAAAAAACAAGTTACAAAAAATATAAGTCTACCATTAAATAAAAACTTCCATTGTTTTTTTCTCTAATACATCCACATCTGACAGTTTCATAAAGCACAGATTATCATATGCATAGAGAAACTAATTATGAGAAAAATAAAACTTTTGTTTCTCTTGTTAATGGACAAACGCCAATGTAAATCTTTGTTTCATGCTAAAACTATGGTGTTGCTACCAATAGACTGTATATGTTTTTTTCCCCTTTAAAACATTTTGCACTGACAAAAATAAGGGAATGTTAAATACAGAATAAGATTTTTAAGCATAGTCTCAAAACAAAACAAACTGCACTACAGAACAACAGTATTATGAAGATTTAGGTGCTGAGTTTTAATGACTGTTGTATGAAGTTTTGAGTAATAAGTGGAAATGAATACATGAAAATATTTTGCTGTAAAAAATGAGACACGTTGCTATTAAACTTTAAGTAATACAAAAAAAATTTAAAAAAATGAATTCCTTTACATTATTTTTATCTTCTTTAATTCCAAGCTCTTTGGTTCCAGTACTGCTATTTTCAATAGACACTCTGAGTCTGATATTCGACACAGAACTGTAAACTCTGACACCCAAAAACCTTACTTCCGCAATATTACCAAGTCCAAGGACAAGAGGAGGCAGAGGAAATTCAAGATGTTTCATTGATTGTGCAAGTCTAGCAATGACAAAGCACAGGATCAAGTCAAGGAGGTACACAGAATTCCTTTTCCAATCATACCTAAACCATGAACTCTGCTGTTGCCTCACACGAGTACTACAGGCATAAACACATTGAAAGGACTGAGGTATTCCATCAGTGAATTATAAGAATCTTTATAAACAGAATCTAACGGAATTGCTCAAGTTTCTGACAATATGCCAAGGAACTAAAAAAGCAGTAGTCTTTGATTCAAACAAAAAATAAATAATCCAAACTATCACGTTGAGAGACCCAGTAGAGGCACCCTAGTAGGGACTGCACTTCAAAGGACTCCCTACATAACATAAAAGTGCCTCATTTCTAAAAACGTATTCTTTATAGAACATGATGCTTTCAGGGTAATAAGGTAAAAGAAAGCCAGGTAATGTTAATTAAAGAATACATCTGCCACATTTTAACTGTTTACAACCACTAAGAATAACTATGTACCTTACAATGCCCTTAAGCATAGCCATTTTTTTTTTTCAATATGTGCTATCCTTCCCATGGATTTAAGAGTATACTACTAAAGTGCTGCACCTCCAGGCCTGCTATTTCTCCATAAAGAACAAAACAATTGAACATTACTTGTCTCTCATTCCCCTTTCTACTCATTTGATCAAGGATGAAGAATAATTTCACATACTACCACGTCTGTGTTAGATATTACTGGGACAAGAAAAAGATGCATATAAAAACATAGCAACAATTCAAGTCCTAAAAATATCTGTCATTTTAAGAAAATCAGACAGTTAAAAATGTTTTAGAAATGATCCAGAATTTATCTTGGAAATACATTTCAAAAATCATTCAACCAATAAGGTTGAATATTTGCTCTGTCTGATCTGCCAGAGCTTAACTCAAAATGCCTAGCATCACCAACATAAGAGGATGCAGCAGCACCGAACTGTAAAATTCAACATTGTTGGAGGCTGACAAACTAAGGAAGGGCATCGAGTCAGAAGCTAGTAGCAGAAGTCTATTAGAAAGAGAATTTGGGTTTAATTGCTATGATCAAGTGCTTCAGGCCACATTGCCTTTATCCCTATGTTATAGCCCTGTGGGGTCTCTCAAATTGCTGGAGGACGCAGCCCCTTTTATCCTAATTTCCCGACCGAGGGGCGCCCTCTCCTTTTCCCCATTGGCCAAGGTACTCAGAAGTTACAGCCTTCCCGGCCCGCCTACACCGAACTCCGGCCTCCCGCCATCTGTTCTCACCTAAGGTCACCTGACTCCTTTGTCCCCCTTCCTGAAGAATGTGGGGGAATTCCTCTATTTCCCTTTGTAAAGGCCCCCACCTCTTGGCACATGCTCTTTTGTCCCGCTCGCTCATGGCTCCGCTCAGTCTCCCCCCTCCCTTTGTCCTGCTCTTCAGCCAGACCGCGGGGAAATCCCCTCATTGGTGAATACACAAACTTGAGCATCCCGCTCAATTTATACCTCCATTCAAATCTTCCATGCAACGTATCTGCTGTGGCCATTATATTTTTCTAGAAGTCTATAGAAAATTGTGTAGCAATTTTAAGCACATGAAATGACAACTTAAGTTCAACCGGTCTCCATAATACTGCAAATCCCAAACAGATGCAAGAATAAGTTGAAAGTCCGCTTTTGCAGTTTTGTAGTCTGCTCTGACTTCCAACCCCCCTCTTTGTCTGTAATATATTTTTAGTACTTTTCCTGCCAATGCCACCACTGCTGCTAGGAAGATTTTTTTTTTTTTTTGGCCTGTAGCCTTACAGCCCACATTTGCACAGCAATGGCTCTTCATACCCAAAAGTAATTCTCTGACTGTGGGTTTGCATATCTCTCACCTTACCTCTGGTCCCTGGCAGACTCATGCTCTTCTCTCAAGCAAGGGTCAGCTTCAAATGCTCTCTTCCCTCTCCAAGTTGATCCCTGAAGGGCTTTTTTTTTTCCTCCCCTCTTGAGGCAAATGTCCTACGAAGCACAAGAGTAAAAGGACCTTGCACTTCAGGGAGGCAGGGGAGCTTGCGGAAGAAACCACTACAGTGCCTTCTGCCCATGGCTGGGGATGAAGAAAAGAAAGACCTGGGTGCTCCAAGAGCTACCTGACAGCCAGGCAGGTCTGTTAGGAGCAGGCAGGAGGGAGCTGGGTGCTCGAAAGCCCTCTTTGGCCAGGGTCAAATACCCTTGCACCCAGCACAGCTCCAACACCCGCCTCCACCCTCGCCTTGGCGCGAATAATCGGGTTTCAACGGCCGTGAACATCTGAGGCGGAGCGAGCCGAGAGCCACCCCGAACCGGCCGCG